ATACAGAGCTGAGTTTTCTTCAAAAACGATATCGTTAACTGGTCGATGCAGACATACTGATGGTGAAGTACCAATCGACCAGCCGCTTTACTCATCAGATTTGGCACCGTGCGACTTTATTTTGTTTCCCAAACTCAAATTGCCACTTCGGGAATCCTGTTTTGAATCCACAAATCCCATCAAAGATAATTCATAAAAGGAGCTAAAAGCCGTACCTATCAAAAGAGGCCTATAAAACTGCTTCGATGATTGGAAAGGGCGACTATTTGTATCGTTTCAAAAGGAGCAAATTTTGAAGAACACTCATCAAGAAATATTAATAAAGATTAATCATTTTAACATTTATTCCATATTACCGGGTAGTTTTTTGTCACTGCAGTATTAGTACAATATTAATTGCTTTCCTTGCTTTTATGTATTTTAACCTCCCTTTTTAACACCTTTAATAATATCAAACTTTTATATAATCGTGCATGTAATTTCCCTTCGGAAATTATCTTTTTGTATAGCAGCATTCAAAATCCTTACGCCGCTCGCGACGTCGGTAATTTGTTGGTTTCCTTGACGACGGGAGTTTCACCCCAAGGAGTTTTCCCCTAATGCGAAGTTATTTACGACAGTTCAAAAGTCAATGGCAGTTACAGTCTTGTTACTCTTGTATAGAAATTGAATAGGAAACACTGTACGAGTAACAGTACGTATAAAGTATAATAGATCGGAGTTTAGGCGTCGCATTTTCCGGGTTTTTCCACGCGCGCTCCGCTGGAGAGTCGCCGTCACGACGACGAAGCGACGCGACGTCGCGAGGGAGGAAAGCCGAAAGTTTTAATCGATAGGTCGAGTTATTGAATTAGAAGTTGTATCTCGGAAGCGGAAGTTGGAAGTTTCTCTCGTTAAATCCAGATCAACAGGTTGTCTTTGTGAATTATGCGCCGGAAAGTTGTAATTAAAAAGATTAAAATAAATCAGAGTTTGTAAAAGTTTGTATGTAGGTGATGTAATAACAAGAATGGGTCACGAGTTTTTATAATTATTTTTAAAGTTTAAAATATCAAAAATAAATTTGTTGTGTATTCATGGAATCTATAATTTGAAAGCTTCATAATAAAAATTTTAGAGCGGTTTTAATAAAGTCACTCAAAAATTTGTTATAGGTATATCATGCATTTTTGTATTTTGCATGGTATAAACTATAATAATTTTTGCATCTTTACACTTCAATTGTAGGTTTCCTATTGGATACGCATTATAAAAACCTTCCGCTTCTGATATAAAGGGTGTTTCAATATAACCGCAAGATTTGAATTGCCTGTCATGTTTGACAGTCATAATAACACGTGATTATAACATGACAAATCGAAAGTTAACAGTTGGGAGTTAGTAAATATGGAGCATTGGATCTGGATATGGATCTGGACATTGAACATAATCCCGTCCTAATTGTTAAACATTACTCCCGGTCGGGTCATTTCCAGGTTTGGTGACCAGAATTGGCCGCCACGTTTTTGTGATTTAGCACCTTTGGACTTTTGGCTGTGGGGTTACTTGTAGTCACAGGTTTATGCCATCATGCCCGCGACCACCGAAGCGTTGAAAGCCGAAATTAGACGCTCTATCAATAAAATACCGCCACATGTATACAATAATGCTATTGAAAATATTATCAAAAGAGTACGCTTGTGCCAGCAAAGCCGTGGCCACCATTTACAAGATATTTTTTTTCATATATAATTCCTAAATGTACACTTGATAAATTAGTAAATATTTCCATATTTTGCTACAGAGAAACACCGTTTATGTAAGTTTTACTTCATACCATAATTATCCTACAATTTCTTCCATTAAAGAAATAGCATCGAACTCATTATTTCACCATCATATCGTTGTTACGATAAATTGCAATTTGCCATAAGGAATAAACGAAGTCGTTTGTATTCCTTTCATTATTCAAATAATCCAAGTATAGGCAATAAGAGAGGGCTCGAATTTACGACATGGTCGACAACGTGTGGCCCTCTGGGTGGTCTCTGTTGATTTACGACTTTGTGCCAATCGCCCACCTTTAAGACTTTTGTTCTTCTCTATTTTGTATATTATTTTGAAGAAGAATATAGAGAAAATATTTATAAATTAACACTATTAATGAACAGAAAAATTCGCCTTTTGAAATGAAAATAATTAGTTAATATTTTGTTTTTTCTCTACAATTAAAAACATTTTTTATAATAGATAGGTATGCCATATTTGGTTTGAGCTTCATCAGCCCTTTTATACTAAAAATTTGACCAAATCTATTTTTGTTAATTGAACACATTCATGATAAATTTTTCTTTGAAGTCGCAAGACTATTTTTTGCTATTTATATTTTCCCCATCATCAAATAAATCAAGATGAACAAAATAATCTTATCAGTTCAGCAAAAAATCGTGAGTTCCGGCTATGATGTTTTATGGCCGTCTCATGTGTTGAGGACGTGATAACATTGTTTGCCCCGTTTATACCATCGGTCCGGCTCGACTCGGCGTTTGCTCATTGTACAAAAATAGTATCGCAAAATGCGATAAACCGCCGTTAAATGTTTATGCAAATCGCCGGATTTTCGAGCAACTCTGACGTTGGTTATTTTTCGTTTCGACGAAACGAACAATGAGCCATTAATTTCGATTAGAAACGAGTTCAACCGGTAACGAAAATAGATGTTTTGTTTGAATAATAATTTAATAAAATCGTTTTATTGGATGTGTTCGATGTATTGGGTTGTATGAATTGAATACGAACGATGAAATAATTTGTGGCTGATCATGCGTTGTTGAATTTGTACCATAAATAACGAACAAATTTTAGCCCCGAAGTACCTAGCGTATATCTGTATAGTAGATATTTAGGTATATCTACTTCTATAATTTGGTTCTTTATACAGGGTGTTTCATAATTGTTTCAAACTGATAGGGGTGGTAGAGCTAGGGCATTAAAATAAGCAAGTTTGCATAATAAACTGCTATCCGGTAATTTACCGTTTGGGCACCGAAACGAAAAGAAAAGACAACGAGGGATTTTTATAAATTCAATGATAAATTTTCTAAAAATTGCTCAAAGTGTGTCCTAGGCTCCTCGTTGTTGAATCCACAGCTGGAATACGATTGTTCATTGATTATACCGGACCCTGCGAAATATTCCCGGTGTGTCTTGGAAATGTGCGCATGCAGCCATCGCTCGTCCCATGTAGTTATTCTTCTTGGTTGGGAACATCAGGAGTCTTATTCGTACTAAAAATTTGACATGCGGTTTATTATGCAAACTTGCTTATTTTAATGCCCTTTACAACCCCTATCAGTTTGGACCAACAATTATGAAACACCCTGTATAATAATAGAAACAAAAAGATAACATTATATATACAGGGTGTCTCTAAAAGGTTGGGACATAGCTTAACTGTTACCAATATCCAAAAGTGCTTGTATTGTATAAAGAAGTTATAGGTACAGTGTGTTGAAAGTTGAAACTAAAACAAAGATTTTTTTTGTTATTGGGGCAGAATAGGTATGGAAAATTGGTTATTTCTATGAGATGAACAAAATATAAGATTAATAAAATAACAATTAGAGTAGTGAAAAGTAATAAAACAATATCAATATATGTATACTCTTTCTTTCTCCTTTATAAGTATCTAATGGAAGTTGTCTTTATCGCACCCATGCCTAGCCTATATTACCTATACTGCAAACTAAAATGAATCAACATGATGTATACATGTTGCATAGCTCAGAACTCGGAAACTCAAATGACTCAAAGTGTGGATACTCCAACCATCAAAAAGTGCGTGAAGTAGAACGAATATCAACTAAGAAAAAAGAAAAATTTATCTTTATTCACTAAAGGAAAAACTTTTTTATGCGATGTCTTCGGCTACAGTTTTCCATCCCGTTCCTGGTGGGCCGCGAATTCTGGACCGCACCCTGTATATCGATCTATAGGTAGGTCTAAGAAAACTTCAAATTTATTTCGGGCCTTTAGACATATCCACCATCAACTAACTCATTATTCTACTTACAGAATAGTAGGAGGTAGGGATCCTATACAGTAAAAAATTGGTATATTACCTATGGGTAAAGAATAGTTTTTTTTTTGTTGCTTGGCTTGCCCTTCTGCCAAAGTCTTGGGTCGAACGCCGAATTAATCGAGGTTCTGTACTATAAGTTACCTTTAAGTAATTAGATTTATTACTAGAATAATATATCTGTATAGATATTTGTGAAGTATATACCGAAACTTCTAACTTCATATTAGTTCCTCACTCTAGTAGGTTTCAAAAGAGGCCAAATGATAGACTAAAATGTATGTGTTAGGTGTTAGGTAGGTATAGGTAACATAAAAAATTCTCAGTTTCAGGTAAAACAATTAGGTAGATATTCAAAAAATTATAGATAACTCGAAAACGTTTCTTCCAAATAATCAAGTCGCCTAAAATGCGTATAGAATTAAGACAACAAAATGAACAAAATGCTCGTCTCTTCGACAAACATCCAAAATGGTTCGCTCAATAAAATATAACAACAGTAGGTATAATAAACTTTACAACCACAATGGTAGTTAACCAGCGATAATGGCAGCTGCCCTTACACCGCCCGTTTTACAGCGCCCATAAAACCAAATAATGAATCGAAACTTCGCCTAACTAGAACGCCAGTCCTAATAACCGCAGCGCCCGATAGGGAGCGGATCCGGCGACTCGTCGTTTCGTACGCGTCCCATCCGCTTCCATCCGCTCCGAAATTTCCGAAAATAAATTCTCGAAAAGCCGAAGCCGAAGCACCGCCGGTGCATATAACAAAATGGAATGCGAGCCAGCTCCCTTTCGCCGGCGATCGGCTCCCGTCGGCTCCCGTCGCCTGACGTCAATAGCTTTACTACATCAGGATTGGCCATGGGCGGAGCCTGCATCAGGCGGGTCGAAGAGTTTCCGACTAAAACAAGCTTCTCTAGTGTACCTAAAATACTTAGCGCGCCAACACGTTGTCGCCGAAATCGCCTCAATCGCCTTCAAAATACAGTTTTTCCACCGTACGTTTGTGGTACCGTCTTCGTACTAGTTTCTAGTGTGTACTGTGAAAATCCGAAGGAAATCCGACGACGCGAACCGGTCCAAATCGACGGTTTTATCGCGGAATATTTTAACATACAATTTATATCTATATGTAGGCGATGCGGCGTTGCCGGTTCATCTAAAGCCACGTTGCCGGTTTCGAGGTGGCTTTTAACACATTGTGTTATGGAGCGAGTGCTTGTGACAGTCGAATGCGCAAGCTAAAGGTAACGTGATTTTGTTTTTTTTTATGTCAATGCTCTGTTTTAACGCCGCTTTGCTTTTACGTTTTACAACGGTTTTAACTGTAATCGCCTTATTTGCGTCACAGCTTACTGCTTTTTTTCCTCTTATCTTAATTATTCTGTGTGTATTCTTATAAACAATGTAAAATTTGGTTGGTTTTTTTTTTGATAATTTACATCAAACTTACACTGCATACTATAATCAGTTCTAATAGCTTATTAGTAGGTAATAAGTGCAAAAAGATTCTGTAGTAACGAGTAATAAATTAAATAAATAAACAGTTGCAAGCTATAATAAATAACCAATTGGTATACGAGAGAAGAAATCGTCTTGTTTTTTTTTTATTTACAAATTTCCAATAGATCATGTCACGGTATAACATAACTCGGCGATCGTCCACCTCTTTCTATCTCAAAGCCGCCGGCTCGTCGATCTCCTCTCATCGTCCCGTTCTCTTTTTTCATCATTCGTAATGGGTACGTCTCGCTTTTATAAATTACACGGTTCTTCGTTTCTCGAGCCTCTCTATCTCTCCGTCGGAGCGTCGCTTTTATCGCGCTATTATCCGTCTCTGTTATCCCACGGAGTTTCGGTTCTCTCTTCGCGCTTCTCCGTAGGGGAGATGCTCCGTCTGCGTCGGGCGCGCGCCTCCTCCGATCGTCCGTCCTCGTTCGACTGTCGAAGGGGTGCGAATGTAAAAAAGTTCGCCGCCGAGGGAATCGCTTGATGTTATGCGGACTGATGAATTCCAGAGCGAGGGGATGTTTCGAGGCTCCGGGGGTCGAAAGGCTTTTGTGCGCTCGACGCACGACGAATGTTAACAATAAATATTGCGTATTGGAATCGGGGTGTTGGGATATGTTTATTAAGGGATTAGGTGCGTAATTTCGGACGAGTATTGATTTTCTTCTGGTGTAGGTATATATACCTGGACTTTTGATATCAAATGTATTTAGACCTAAAGGTATTTTTAGGGAATTGTTGTATAAAATAGTATAGTAGGTATTGTTTAAGAGAAGGTTGGGAGTTGTTCATTTGATGAATGACAATGGGGAGCTTATAATAACAAATAAAAATCATCATTATAACTTGGTAATACAAGTACAAGATTTTGTTAAAGTAATTAATTAGGTAGGTGCATTAACAATAATTATTATCTACTATAGGTATCTATACAAAATTGTATTATCGAATATGAAGTAGGTATCTATTGTTTATAGCGAGGAGAGTTGGGAGATGATCAGTTGAATAAAAACTGTGATGTTGGTTTGTTCATAACAAATAAATTTCATCGATAACTTGTTTAATTAATTACATAAATAAATTCTGTAACATTTTAATGGTGCATTATCCACAGTTAACGCTTTAAAATAAGTAACTCTACTCCATCACTACTATACTCCACTCCACACAAAATGGATAACAAATTTTCTCTTAAGTTGAAGTAATTGCCATCAAGATAAATGCCCTTTAACTTCTCAGTTATGTAACTTAATATAACCTAAAGTTAAATCGGTTTAAATCACTATACACTGTGCCTCATTCCAGATCGCAACATAGGTTATATAAGCCATATGTGCGATAAAGACAACTTCCATTAGACACTTACAAAAGAAAAAGGAAGAGTGACATTTGTGTCATTGCAACTTTTCACTCTGACAACTGTCAATTTAATAATCTTTCTTTGTTCAACTCATAGAAACGACCATGTTGCGGTCTGAATTGAAGCAATCGGTATATTTAACCTTCCCTATATATCTTCTCTTATATGCAAAACATCCTGTATATGGATCGTCCTTGTTCGCACGACATTTTTCCATTTCGAACGTAAATTTTCGACGTGCTTGCACTTGTAATTGCCTTGCGAAAGTGCCATTCAATTTTATCGTTTATTATTATATTATGTTATCGGCAGGTATCGCAATAATCATCATTAACAACCGGCGCAATTTCTATTAACAGTAGATACCTAACGGCACGCGTTTGCGAGCGCCGCGAATAAATAAATTCACAGTCGACAAATCAAAACTTTCTCTCTACTTTTACAGGGTGTCCCCGATGCGCGTATCGTTATCGATATCGGAAAAAAAAACCGAACGAACTCGCGGTAGGAGAGAAAGTGTGTTAATAGAATGAGAAGTACCTACTGATGATTGAATGATAATTATTTGGGAGTGTCTTACTTTATCATTTAGTCTAGGTAATAGCACTTTAATATAATTTAATAATCATCATCTAATTACACTGACTACATATAACTATAATGATTCAACTATGATTTGGGGAGCTGCACAAGAATCAAATAATACTAAATCATATCAAAGTATGAATAGATACAATCATACAACATTTTATATGAACGGATAAATACAAAATTAAAAATAACTGCCCCTCTGCGCTTGAACGAGTGAAACTGTTTGATCTGCAAAAAGTCGATATGGAAGAATGATCATTATACATCCCTTCACTGCAACCCTAACTTCGAATTGAAGGATATTAATATTTAAATGGGAAGCTATAACTAGTCCGCTATTTAATGGTTTAATTATACATTCTAATGAGAAGTGCGGTTGACGGTTTATTTGTTTCCGTAGTTCTATATGATGTATTGATTATAAATAAATGCATTATAGGTAATTCGTACCTTCAGGGATGTTATTATTAACTACAACACGATAAATATTGGATATTAGATACCTAATTGTTTATTATTTATGAAGTTTGTTTCGTTAAGTGAATTCCAAGGTTTGCGTTTGAACTGAAATTATATATTAGGTATAATGTGAACTTACATTATAAATGTAATTATAAGTTATTATACCATTAAAAAACTATAAGTTATATAAAGGAAGAAAAGTAAACGGTTAAAAGTCAGGAAGAAACAGATATAAAACAGAAAGTAAGGATAACAATTTAGCCAATACTAAATGCAACGAGTTTCTGTGATATATAGTTTATTCAACCTCTGATCCTTTTAATTATAATAATACCTAAATTAATGATGCATTACATAGGTATTTTCGTTTATTTACTAACAATTAAAAGCTCTTAACAGTAAAAATAATAAAGAGCGAGGTTATTGATCTTCGATAAATTTAAGCTCTTCATGTTAATCCTCTCGAAATCCCTTGGTTTATTAATGCAATTAGCCGGTTATGCCCCTACTTTTATTCGAAGCGTTATACTAACGTAACAAATTACACAATATTTCTAATAACTATCAAGTCTGCGGTTACGCTGAATCGTACAAATAATTTTCGCAACTGTATTTTTCCAAAGCGCATATAACATTTTCCTTGTCGAAACGGGCGAACATTAAACCGCAAACAATGCTCCTTTGAGCTGCTCATTAAATTTTTTTTGGTTTTTAATGTTCAAGCGCTAATTGACAATGTAAACTCGTTGTTGTGACGGCGTAATAATCGTTTGTTGCATAATAAACCGACTATTTTGCCCGACAGTTTGCTTTCCGATTATACCAAATGGGTCGAAATGTAAACATCTATAATATCATGCGCTAATTCCGCATATTTGTCAAACTCCATCAGATTGTTTGCAGTCCATCAAAAGAATCAATTGGTGTTAATGTGACGACTCCTAGAAATTTACTTTATCGTTATTTGTTAACTTTAGTTTATAGTTATTATTTTGGAGCGTTAATTAGAAGGTGAAATTATCTTTAGGAACATTGTATATTCTAGTAGGTATAATGTTATATTGAATCAATTTGTTACAATTACATATGTTCATCAAAGTACAGGTATAGGGATAAACCGGAATAGATAAAATAGCTTTATACATTGATCAATATAAAAAATATCCTATAGTTATACTTACGACATAGGTCTATGTTCCCCTTCTGATAAAGCGAGTTATAGGACTGGCATGAATTTTGTATATGCGAAAGAAGACAGCTGCGAAAACGTTTCTTTAGCGTTGCCCTATAGGTACCTAAAGTATGGTTTAAATCTGTCAACTGGCGCTCGAAAGTTTGTACAAATTTCACCGAACAATCCTGCAACCGTACCCAATATCTTATCTCATTTTGATTTGTGTATTTTCCATTTGACTTTGAAGTGGTTACACAAATAACCAATATTTAATCGACGCAAACAATAAAACAACGAATTGCATTCGTTAAATTTATAGTTTTTTTAATTTAGTTTAAATACTATAATAAATAAAATATATATAATTTAAAATTGTTATTTACTTATATCTACACTACAAAAAATGTTACAGAATATTACGTTGGCAATTTTGTTACCTACGTAATATTATGTAATTTTTAAATACGGTATATATACTGTAAAAAATTCTCTTAATATATTCTGGATACACAATTTATACGGTTAAATTACAGAATATATAATGTAATGCATTACATTTTTATGTAAAGTCTCGAATTCCGGTGTAATTTTACAATGTAATTTCAGTATTACCTGTCTAGTTCTGTAATTTTACAGTCTTACATGATAGGCTATGTATTATAGTTATTTACATAATTTATTTAGTAAAAAATACATAATAAATTAAGGAAAATTACAGAATTTTTTTTCAGTGTATATTAATAATTTGCATAATTAATTGTAAACAAACACATAAAAATTAGATTTATATGGACAAATATTTTTATTTTATACCTACATTATTTTGCTAAAAGTGAAACAAATTCTACATATAAATTAAAACATTCGTCTTCGTCAAAATGGTGCCCTGTAACAAAAGTTCCTCGAAAAATCTTCCATTTAACGGTTTAACGTTTTGTGTGTACGTCTCGTGAGATAAATGTGCCTTTTTAAACCGGCTAGGATTACCCGAAAATTGCAGGGTGACGAGGATTTTTGTAGAAAGTAAAGCTCTCGCTTATTGTTGTCGACGGGGGACATTTTGCTCTCAAAAGAAAATAGATTTCACATGTTCGAAATGCGGCCCTACGGTATTTTTAAGGTTGCTTTCGACATTTGCTCGGGTTATTTTC